ACTCATTGGGTTTATTATATTCCTTATATGTAACTGTGCAGGCAGGTAGCTCATCATTTTCTAGAATGCGAATTTAAAGCAACAACCCTCCTTGTCACACCACACTGGATGCACCCCCGCCACGGCACGTCCGTGACTGTCCAGCTCTGATTCCCTTCATGACAGTCACTGTCATTTGGGCGTCGGAGCGCGGCGTCCGACCAACACAGCCGCTGTTGCCTTCCAGCGCCCTCCTCTCCTTCTTCCCAGCAGCTCGGGAGGAAGGAACGGTGGTGAAGCGTTCCCAGTGGACTCTGGCTGCTGCGAGCCATAAAGGGACCCGTTAGAAGAAGCACATCGGTGCCATACGGCCATGTGACCAAGGTCCCCTCAGTGGAAGAGGAGGGAGGGGCACTGCTGGGGCTTCTGGGAAAGCTCCTGGGAAGGAGGACAGGGTTTGCAGGGACACCTTTGTCCATGCCCCTTCCTTCCTTCCTCCTGCCTGAACTGACAATGTGGTGGCAGTGGCCCCGCAATCGTCCTGCACCCTGAGGTGACCTTGAGAACGGAAGGCACAAACTAGGACGGTGGGGCTGGATGTGGGAGAAAGTATAACTGAGCGTGTTCAGCTACCGCTGCCTAGCCAGACACACTTCCTAACCAATAAAAGCGCTTCGCACGTACTGCCCCCCAACCGCCACCTGCCAAAAGGGGGACCTCTGCGGTCTCACTGGGTGCGCGCCGCTGCACCCCTGCCCACTCTGCACCTGTCGCCCCAGCAAAGGGAGCTGCTGCTCTGGACAGAGTCTGTCTCGCGTTCCCTCGTCTTCCATTTCACTCACACCACACGCATGTTTTGGTCGCCCTAAGTTATACTGCCCTACTTTGCCTGTTTTTAAAACACACATAAGTTATATCACACTGTGGTTCTCTGAGACCTTTTTCCCTCAGCATTAGGAGCTGAATCTACAATGACACACACAGTCTCACAGCTTTGCGTAATTCACAGCGTGACTGCACCGCTAAGTCTCCAGCCCACCTTTATGGACATGGGGTCATTTCAAGCTTTAGACTCTTCCAGAACACAGCTACGGACACTCCTGGGGACCCATGGAACAGTCTCCCCCGACGTTTCTCCCACTGTGACATATGACACATAGAGAGGACTGCGTCTACATGGCGCCCTGAGGGCGTGGAGAGTTCTGGACGTGGCTGCATGGGTGACCGCTGGACTCTGGCTGCCGCGCGCCGCAAAGGGGCCCGTCAGCAGCAGCACATCAGTGCCGCACCGCAGGGCGGCAGAGGCCCGCTTGTAGAGCAAGTGGAACACAGGGGCTGGGCCTATCAATGGTACCAGACAAGACCCCAAAGAGATCCAGGGCTTTGCACTCCCGTGTCACGACTGCATCAGCGTCCCCACTGCTCCCCATCCTCACACGCCCAATCACTGTGAACTTCATTTTTGTAAAATAAAGATCTCTGTGGACTTAATCTGCAGTCTCCTTACTCCTAATGAGGCTCAGCAACTCTTCCTGTTTGCTGTCTACCCCCAGCTCCTCTTCTGTGAAATGCGCTTTGTTTGCCCGTTTATATCGAGTATTCGATCTTTTCAAACAGACCTTTTCTGGCGCCCTTAATATAACCGGGATAGTGGTCACGTCCGTTTTATGTATTATAAAGTCTCCTCCCCGCCTACGGCCTGTTTGTCCTTTTCACTGTTTATTATTTCATATGTTGGAGAGATTCTGTCCCTCCGTCTCCTTTGTGGCAGGAGCTTTTTCTGTGTCTCCTTCCAGAAAGTCTTCTCTGTGTTCCCTGTTACAGATTTCCAACTTCCCATTCTGTAGGCAGAGAATGTGTTCTATGAATCTGATACTTTGAGACGTTGTCTACTTTCTGGCCTAGCATGGGGTTAATTTTTGTACATGCCCAATGTTTATTTGAGGATAACATGCATTTCCAGTTGCTAGGTGGAGGGCTCTACAATAAATATCCGATAGATGAGGGATGACAGACACCAGCTGGGAGGGATGGGTGACAAATCCAGCCCTGGCCATCTGTCTACGTATCGTCCAGGGCCGCCTTCACCCCTCAAAGGCAGCTAAGTAGTTGAGACGGAGACCGTATGGCTTCACAGAGCAGAAGTACATCCTGCCTGGCCCTGCATAGGAGAGGTCTGCCAACCACGGCTAGGCTCCAAACTGCTTCCCTTTCCTTTTTGATATCGTTAATGAAAGAGCTGTTTCACAGTCTTCTGTGGCAATGACACCTTTGGTAATGTCTGTTAACCTTTGCTTTGTTACTTTATGTTGAGGCTAATTAGGTGCAAAGCAGTTTCAAATTGTTCCATTTTCCTGGTGTGTTACTACTTCTATCATTGATGCAGTGGTCCCTTTTGTTCCTAGTAATTATTTTTGCTTTGAAATCTGTTTGGATGATATTGTTACAGAACAGCTTCTTTTCATTAGCATCTCTTTTTTCCATTCTTTTATGTCTTACATATTGGGTGTGTCTCTCACAAATAAAATAGCATACAGCTGGGCTTAGTTTTTCCATGGACTCTGACAAATCTCTTTTAGTCAGGAAGTTTGGTCCATTTATTATACACAGTGACAGATATATTTGGTTTCATTTCCACCATCTTAGATTGTATTTTCTTTTTACACTATGTTTTTCTAGGCCTGCCTTTCTTTCCTGACTTCTTTTGAATTAGGTTTTTAAACTCCATTATTAACCCTTATTGATTCGAAGTTTTAACCTTTTCATAATTTCCCCTAATATTATAACATGAATTCTAGATTGAACAAAGTAAAAGAGTTCATCAGTGTCTCCACCCTCCTCCAGAACAGTCTAAGACCATCCGAACTGTTAACGTCAGACTGAGATCCCTTTACTAACTTCTTTGCTGTTAATTTTATTATGTTTTAAATGGAGAAATACATCTGTTTTCAAAACAGTGCTTGAACAATACAAGGAGAACAGATACTATAGGACAAAGCAAACTTCAGCCATGAGACACTACACACATCATATTAAAAAATAGTCTGATATTCAGGTAATGAAAACTAGAATTAAAAAGATCCAAAAGTTTCCAGCTTAGCAAAACTATGTGTAAACACAGTGACGGGACTAACTTTGGGCCTGGCAATTCCAGCCCGATGCTGTGGCTGCTGCAGACGCGCAAGCAGACGTCGCCTGCCCTGTGACTGCAGTGGACAGGCAGGGTGACTGCACGGGACAAGCCGTGGGAAGCAGGGCCACAGTCTGTGTACTACACACCAGAAAGCAATGCTGACAAGAAAGCCAAATTACCACAGTGCCCAAATGGAAAGAAGTCATAGCTCAGCTTCGGAAAAACTAATCCAGAAAGATAGAGAAGGAGGTTCAGAAATTGCAGTTTGATGTGAAAGACCCACAGGTGGTAGGAAGGAACACCGTGGAGGGACAGGAGGAACCCGAGCCAGGCTCACCGGCAGAGCTGCTCGGGGCGCCGTGTCCAGCTGAAGGAAGGCTGCCCGCACCTGTCGTCACTCGTGGCTCCCCAGCGGGGACGTTCTGCTGCTTAATCATGAGTGTTTTTGTTTTAAAGAAAGCTATTCTTAATAGTTTGTAGGAAAAAGAAAGAGTAGAAAGCGGACTAGATGTCAGGTACTTGCTAGAAATTATATTTTTTTCCTAGATGTAAAATTTACTGATGAATTTTAGTAAGCCATTTAAAGGCAAAAGTTGGCATAAACTTCTTGGGGAAAAGATACTTCTGCTTACCTGTTTAAACTGGACATTATCTTCCCTATAAACAGGTGTTTTGTGGAAGACACAAAACTTCTCATGTGTAGAGAGCAAATGGCCATCCAAGACAGATAACATGTTTTATGGGCATTACTTTCAGTCAAGTTTTACTAAAATATTAGCTATGGAACCAAAATTTAGTGTTTTATGCCATGTGGCCACAAGGTTGTTGATTTTATATCATGGTTAAGAAAATACCAGTGTTCTGGGTGTTTATGAAATACAAGCATATCATGTGCGCACAAGCAAAGAGAAGAGGTGGGGAGTCAACAGGCTATTTTGTTTTAGGACAAATGATTAAGGACAAGACGACAGAGACCTTTGTTAGCACCAAGTCAATGTTTGCTGTTCGATCACCAATTGTATACACTATAAAAACAATTCTACAGAAAAGAAAAAAGTCTTGACCCTGTCCCATCAAAAGCAAAGAATTACTAATTACTGTTCCAATGCCAAATATATATCCTAAGAGTTGACATTTCATTTTAAAGGGTTACAGCTACCTCACAGGGACTGAGCAAGATGTATTTTTACGCTTTTCCTGAAGTACAGTATACTACTGCACAATGGTATCCGATTTGGAGATTGATAATGGAGGAAAACTCTTCAGGAAAAAACTAAAATTCATCAAGCTTAAAGATCTAAAATTAGCTCTACTTTCTAATAATAATACACATATAATACATCATCAACATAAGGATATCAGATACCAATTTGTATTGCAAATTTTCCCCAACAATGCATCAAACATAAATCCAGTCCAGATGTCAGTCATGGGTACACATATAGCTGAAGGGTTTTCTTTTTCTTTAAGGGAAGTAATCCTTTGAAATAGTTACAACTTTTGCTGACACATTAATAACAGTATGTCTAGCTTCATGTACTAACCTGGACTTCTGATCAAGATTAGCCCAGCAAAGGAAGTTACCAAATAAGCCTATATCTATTTTGAGTTTTACGTAGTTTGGTATCCTTCATTCTCCTCCTTTAGCATTTGAAGACAACACTTTGAGTTGGCGGATATTATTTATGGACTCTTGAGGTTGTTTTTATCCGTTCAATCTGTTTTATTGAATTCTTGATAACAGGAATAGGATTTGCAGGGAGGGCAGGGATACTGGAAAGGTCTGTACTGGGTGTTTCCTGCCAGGCCATCAGAGAAGCTACTGTTTGAATAGTTCCAAATTGAGTTGTACCATCTTTTTTCAAAATCATTCTTCTTCTGCTCTGGCTTCCTCGGTCCTTTCTTCTTTATGAGGTGAGGCAGTCCTCTAGACTCCTACTATGGGATTAGCTATGTTTGTTGCTGTGCTCCCTGAAGGCCTGGGTGGATGGTTTACCAAAAGCGTTGAAGAAACAACTCTAGTGATTGTAGTCTTCGGTGGTGGAGAAACGGCTGCTTGTGGCGCAGGCTGAGGAATGCTTTCACTCGCTGCACCTCCTGGGCCCTCACTGGGATTCGCTTGCTGCAAGGAAACTTCAGCAACCTGAGCGCTGGTCACAGATGCTGCCATTACAGCCAGCGTGGGACTGTTTCTACCCTGGCAGGTGCCAGTTACTGGGCCAGTCTTCATAGCACTCACAGGTGAAGGAACAGATGTGCTGTTTTCACTGGCTGCAGACAAGTCAAGACTGCTATCATTCAAAGCTGTCAATCTGACATGTTCCGTGGAATGTGTTTTCTTTTTCTGAAGCACATGATTAGGTAGAAGCTGATGAAGTTCCTTTTTTCTTACATGCATTGCATCAATTTTCATATCCATCTCGAACAACTTACTATTTATTGCTTGCCTATAAACTGTGTCTGTGAAAGACTGGATATCATAGGTAAGATCAATACTGAGCACTTCGGAGTTTTCTGGCTTTTTTAACACTAACCCAATCACCCACATTGTACAAAACTCTTCCTTGTCAGGATTTTCTTTGGGTGCTGGAAATGACTGAGGATTCACATGGGCCAGTGTGATAAATTCATTCTTCTCCAAACTTCCAACCAGGATTCGGATTTTTGATTCCACCAAGCCCACCCATTCTAGATGTTGTTTTTCTGTTGGTGCACGTGCTAGAAGTACAATGTAATGCTTGTACTTTTGAAAGAAGCTTGGAGCTTCGAAAAGTTTGGACCAGTCTGCCTTACTCAGCAAAATCTCATGTGTGATTGCCAGCCCTTGTTTAAACTCCTCAATCATGACCATCCTTGTTGAAACCGACACGTTGTATGTGGAGTTCTGCTGTGGGTATGCTGGTGTGATTATAGGCATAAGATGGTACCTGTCACTGGGATTTACTCTTGGGTCCCATACAGGCAGATTAAGATTTCGTTCTTCAGGCTCTTTCAGTAGCACTGGATTTGGCCACTCCCATTCAGAAAATACCAAGAAAAATTTCCGTACAAGAGTTGATGCTACTGCGTTTGGATAAAGCTGGCAAGTTCTTGCTACTAGCATGGCCCAGGAAACGCCTCCTAGGAAACCTAGTATATTGGAATAGATATTGTGGCATTTAGCCCACAATTTGATGGCTCTGAGCGTTAACCTGAAGTTGTCAATGTTTGGTACTAGGTGTAGTATTTCATCGGTTACCCGGCAACCGTTAAGGCTTCTTATGCATCTAATATCTAAATTTTTAAGCAGACTGTCATCTCTTAGGTCCAAATCTTCTGGAATAGTCTGCAGTGCTAATCTTGCAAACAAAATATCAATCTCTATCCCATCAAAACACAGTCTAATAACTGGTACAAACGCCTCCTCCACAGCCCTTAAATCCTTCACTTCCTCGTGCAGTTTCAGCTTGTCATAGAAGGAGGTGAAGAAGTCGCTGCGGTCAACATGTCTCGGCGCCACGCACAGCGCGTCGATGTCGGCGCCCTTCGTGTGCACGCCCAGCCGGTACGAGCCGAACGTAAAGATTTTGCCTCCGACATTTTCAATGACAGCTGGCGGAAGACTCTTGCTTTCGCTGATTTCTCGTATCCATTCCTTTACCAGATTATTTAATTTTTCCAAAATTAAAATCCTGCGCTGCAGTTCCTCTTCCTCTTCCAAAACCCCGAAGGGCTTCAGGGTTTCGATTAACTTCTGGGTAAGGACGCAGTCCGTCTCCTTGGGGGCGGCTAAGCTGATGGGGGCGGAGATGCCGTAGAGCCTGGGGGACGGCGGGGTCTGCTGTGATCCCGGGGTTGGCACCGGAAGCGGCATCGTCTCTAGCGCTGGCCCAGCCACGCCTCGTCCCCGGCCACCGCGACCTCCGCCGCCGCTGCCCGGGTCATGGTCCGCCGAGGCGGGAGGGGCGGGGCTCCGACCAGGTCCGACCCGCTCCCGCCGGTTCAAGCGTCTCTCCGCGGTCCCCTGGGCCCCAACATGGCGCCCGGGCCCTCGACGCGGCGTTCTAGAACCGCCGCGCACGCGCCGCACACGCAAAGGCACACGTGGGCCGCGCAGAGCCTCGCGGGAGTTGTAGTTCCCCGGGGCCTGCCACGGGCTTCAGGCTTCAGGCTTGGGGTGGTGGGCTTTGGTTTTCGGAGTTTTTACTGTTTTCTGCGTTCACCTTGACCTACCATCTGTTTCCTTGCTCACCATGGCTCCTTACACCTCAGACCTACTTCCCCTCCGGGGCATCTTCAGTGGGCCTTCCACCTAAGGCCCCTCCTTTAGAAACCCCTTTACAGTGAGGGTCTGTGGTGAGAGCAGCCCCAGCCGAGGCCGCCGTGGCCGGTGCCGGGGTGACGGTGTGTAGCCAGGCTGGCTGGCACCCAGCCGGGCAGTCGTTCTCCTCTCGCTCCGAAGGTCTCAGCTGCTCTCTGCTGGCTTCTATGTTCCCATTCCGAAGTCTGCAATCAGGCTAACCTGGTGCTCGCCTGTCTCTTATTTTTGGCTGCTGTGAAAACCTCTGTCCTCAGTGTCCTGTGTCAACGTTAAAAATAAAATAGCCAGTTATTTTGCCCATAAAAGTAAATTTATTCGGGTTCGCAGAGGAGTTACAGTTCCAGACGTGCAAGTTACAGCAAACCACAGGCGAGCCTGGAGAACAAAGGAGGGGAACTCTAAAAGAGAAAAAAGAGGGATTGGGAGAGGCTTATAAACAAAGTGTCCATTAGAACAAACCGGGAGAGGCAATTTGAAGTATAGTGACTTCCCATTGGCTGAGTCATGGCGGTTTCTCATTGGCTGGGTCTGTTGCTAGGCAAGGAGAAAACCTTCCTTTGTCCTGCTCTTGTAGTAGAGTAAGCTTCTTGCAAAGGCAGCTTCCTCCTATCGGAGGAAAGTATGCAAAATATGGTGAGCGGGAGTGTGGGAGAGCTCACCCAGGACTTCCCCGCTCCGCTCCGTTTTAAGTGTGGTTTCCTCTATTTATTTTCACACCTGCAATACCGCCGCTAGGTGTCAAGGGGTAAATTCCTTTTCATTTATCTTACACAGGATACACGGTGATTCCTGAGTTTCATGCTTTTCATTTCACGACCTCTGTAACATTTTCAGGCGTGTCCTCGGAGTGTGTCCTCCGCGCCACTCTCTTGATTCTCTTCAGGTGGACATGTGATAGACCCTCTCATTCTGTTCTCCATGTCTCTTAACCCACGTTTCTTCCAGGGTGATGGCAGATCTACCTCTCAGTTCTCTAATTCTCTCTTCAGTTGTATTTAGTCGCTGTTGAAGCCATCGCTGAAATATCCGTTTAAATGTGTATGTTGTTATTACTAGAAGAATTATCTTGTTCTTTTCCAAATATTCCCTGTTTAGATGATATTCTTTCCCACCTGTTTTTTTCCTACCTCTTATTTCTTTAAACATTTTAAACACATTCATTTACTCAATATTATATAATGGTCCCAATTACTAATGCTCTTGAGAATCTGATTCAATCTGATTTGTTGTTTTCTACTGACTCATTTAGAGTAGCATCATTTCATGGGTCTTGTGATTTTGGATTATGAGCTCATCTCTGGCAAGGGTTGGGATGCCTGTGTGAAGGTGTGTCCTTCCAAAGAGGATGTGTTTTGTTTCTCTCCGATGTCCTTGTACACTATCAAATTATGTACACTGCAATTTAATTTCTTATCCAGGTTTATCCAGATCACATAAGTAGTCTGATTTTAAACACTAGACACACATGAGAGGAAGAGTGGCTTCCAATTCTAGAAAAGAGTCTTTAGTCTTCCCCACCCAGAGCCCAGGTCAAGAAAGATAAGATTTTGTCATCTCCTTTTACCAGGTAGATTATTTTAACTACATCTTTTCATTCAATGTGCCACCCTCAAGGGTCCCAGCTATATTTGGGGGGGTCTCAGTTCCAACTCCCTACCCCTTTAGGTCCAAGGCTTTATGTCTCTGTACAGAGCTATCAGTATTAAACAAGTTTCATGGCTACAAAGAGCAGAAAACCTGTCCAGCTATGCTCTCCCGCTGGGCTTCCTGTGTGAAGCGCAAGCGCCCCCCTCCGGAGGCTCACCGTGTGCCATGGCCAGAGGCCTCCGGGGAGGGCGGCGCCGCCAGCCCGGCCCCACGCAGCACCATCCACCCCAGAACAGGCTGTTAAACCTCCTTCTGACGTTGCGTGTCTACGTGAAACTAAAGGCTATGAATCTTTTTTTTTTTTAATCAAAGCTGTAAATCAAAGGATGAAACTGGCTGTGAGCAACTAACTGTTTAACTTTATGGCCTTGTTGAATTAAATATACTTAAATGTCTTTTAAGTTCAAATACTTCCTAGTTTTAGACTGGTGAAAAAAGTTGGGGGTTGCTTTGCTTTTCACCAAACCATATAAAATAGATATTCTCCACAGTGATTCTGTCATTGAGAACAGCGTGAAGACTTACTCAAGGCTCAAGAGGCAGCTCCTGCTAAATAAAAGGAGAAAACAACACAGATCACCTCCCCCGACCTGACATAAGTTACTAAAACTCAGATTCATAGAGAGAGAAAAAATGTCAAAAGAAATTGACCACAGCAAGGTTGGGAGACAGGAGAGAACAGGACTCACCACACACCGTTAGCAGATGAGCCTGACATCCCTCTCTGCCACTGGGCGTCAGGCCCCGTCTGCCATCTGTGGATAACAAGGTAGGAAGACAAACACACACCCAGAGCTGGGCACTCAGAGACGACACCTCTGCCGCCACCAGCCACTCAGTGGGCTTAGAAGAGAGGGGAGGCTGGCAGGTCAGGCATTCAGGTGCCAGAGCAGAGCGTTCCTGGTCGCTGAAGCCACAGCTTGCAAAAGTGGACAGCTGTGCCATCGGCAAGCCACTCCCCCCAACCCCTCCGTCCCGGATGCGCCACACAGAAAACAGACCCCAGCTCTGGAGCCCTGGACTCACAGGAGGCTGAGAGGGGCCTGCGCTTCCACATCAGCACTTCGCCAGGCATGGAAGGTACACTTCCTGGGTGCCGGGCACCACACAGACATTTGAAGGGCAGTGAGTCCCAGCCTCCGGTGGCTGACGCAGAGGCGCCCCTGGAACTGTGTGACCTACAGAGGGAACCTCAAGTTGCCATGGCTTTCGAAACACTGTAAGCTGGCCTTTCTCCATCGAGGGCACCCAAAGTCTCCCAGGAACCGACTGACACAACATTTCTGAGGCCCAAGGCGGCCACACAGAAAGGCATCCACAGGCGCAAAAAGGAGCCCCACGTGTCACCCTTCTCAGGACGCGGGGCTTTCACGGCGCCCTCGGGGTGCGCCGCAGGCGTGGCGGCATGGCCTCGTGGGCGCCAGGCACGAGGCCACTGGCCCCGAAGGGGAGGCGCTAGGCGTGGCTGAGACTGAGCTCATCCAGACCGAGTCCAGGACTCTGGGTCCAAACCCGTGATTCCCCGCCCAGGGCCAGCTCACCTCCAGGACACTGCCCTCTGAAACCGGTGGTTGCCACGACTGGTAGGGGTGCAACTGGCATCTGGGGTAGAAGTAGAAGGGGGCGCTGCTAAATAGCCTTTGCCGCCACGGCAAAGAACTGTTGGCCCAAACTGCCGAGGGCGCCAAGGCTGAGAAACGCAGCCAAAATCCACCCTTCCATCCTGGAAACACAATAAACCCTTCTCCCGCCCTTCCCAAGCTGCTGACGAAAACCACATGGCCTGGCCAGCACCCCTCCCCGAAGGAGCTTATCGCCTTATCTCAGCGCCAGGATCCAGAGCCCTCTCCGCGTGGCACCGGGCCCGAGTACCGCCTTCCGGGAGACCGCAGTGAGAGCCACTTTGCAGCCCCACCAGCACTGCCCTCGGCGCTCCCAGCACTGATGCACAGTATTTTGATCCTCCAGAAATCAGGGGAAGGGGCAGCTGTGAAAATGTAATATTTATGGAAAACAAACGCCAGAGTGCCTGAGTGCACAACAGTGGCCCAAATGGGGAAGGGGGAGGGGCTGGATTCCGCTGGCAGTGCCCTCGGAAGCGTCTGGCACGCCCACTTTCCCACTGAGTCTCCCGGGGAATCCCAGCCCGTGCGCCGGAAACCAGGCTGCGGGGAGCTCCTGGCGCCCACACCCAGCTGCTCCGCAGATGCGCGCCGGGGGCTTTGGCTGAAGGCCACCTCTGACACCAGTGCAACCAGTGAGCCCCACTCACTAACAGCAGTGCGTCCTTTACTGTCAATAACTGGAACAGTGAAAGTTACCATGACAGTAGTCAGGAAGGCTGGCATTAACTCACATGCGCACACACACACACATACACACAAGGCACACACGCACGCAGCCCCTTCCCCTCTCCAGTGTCTGCTCACCAGGGAACACAGCCACAGTGTTAGAAGGTGGGACACGAAGGCCCCTCGCAGGGCAGGCGGATGAGCCCAAGCCCCTGTCCCATCACACTTAACACACAGCCCCCCACCCTGGACCGACTCCCCCTTCACTCCTCGCCTCCGCAGTGATTTTGAGTCTCTCTGTGGTCCCCACTGTTGCTGAGGATGGCACGGGGGACCCTGGGCCACATGTCTGCCGCCGAGCAGGTCTCAGGCAGTAGGGACAGACGGCGGCCTGGCTCCCTCGGGCCCGGACTTCTGTGAGACGACAAGGAGGTCTCAGAAGCGGGGTCAAAGGCCACGCTACAGCCGCCTGCAAGTCCACAGGTGCTGCAGCACAGCCCCCTGCCTGCACAGGGGGCCGCTCGGAGTGTGAGTGCGCGTGCGCACCTCCGCATCCCATACGCACACGTCACGGGAACAACCAAACGAAGGCGCTGGCTCGGAGGTCCTGGACTC